CTGAGGGCAGGCAGCAGATGGGTAGGAAGGGTACCAGCTCCAGCAGCTCCCTTCTACACACTCCCAGACTGCCTGCCTGGGTTAGGGGTGCCCAAAGTGCATTTTCATTGTTTGATTAAATTACTGTCTTGCCCTGCTCGCTCCCTTCCCATCTGGCCTCCCCTGGGGCTTTGCTCATGCTCACCCTCTCACTGGAACCTTCTATCTCCCCAAGGTCCCACTCCCCACCCCCATCCTGGCTGGTAAATAAGCCTCTGCTTGCCTGCCTGCCTGCCTGCCTGCCTGCCTGGGTGGCTCCAAGTGGCTCCTGTCATGTCTCCTTTCTGCACCTCCAGACTCCTCTGAGAAGTGACTTGCACGTCCTGGCCCCACTGCCACTGCATCCCACCTGCTCACACACAGCCGCCTGCCTTTGGCCCCGCTACTCCACACGTGTCAGCGACCTCCTGTGTCCAAAGGCAGGGATCACTGCCCCTCTCTAGCTGACCACACCTCCCCTGGCTTTCCTCCAGCGTCTCTTGAGTCTCTCCTGCCTTTCTTCCCCCTGTCCAGGTCCACAGTTCCATCTGTGTCTTGGTTGTGGCCAGTAAAATGCCCTCACGGGCACTGGCTCTCAGGGGCCACCAGCAAGGTCCATTATTGCATCCAAGAGGGGGTCCTGGGCAGAGGTGGAATCTGGTTGAAGCTGTGTTTGGGGGTGAGGGCTCGGTGTGGGGGAGGGTCTTTGCAGTCAGGGGCAGCCTCTGGATGAGAGGGGACCATGTAGAAAAGGAAGAAGACTTAGGGGATTGTGGAGCTACCCACCAGACCAGAGGGCTCCCCTGCAGGGCCTGGCCCAGACTTCCTCAGACAGCTCTGCAGTCCTGACACTGGCTACCCTGCAATGCCTGTAGCCCGCGGAGCCCTGGGGCTGTTCATGCAGTTGCCTTTGCCCTGCATCCTGGCCTGGGGGTCTCCAGGGGTCTAGTTCATTCCCCAGGACCCAGCCAGCCTCGAGTCCTCTCTTTCTGGAGCCCTTGCAGAGTCAGATGCAGTTCTGAGCGGCAGGGAGGACCTGGCCTGGGGGACCTCTAAGAATGCATTCCCCAGCTGTGAGCTTCTGAGCCTCTGGCCGCTTATCTTCCCCTGTTGATAGATGGATGTTGCGGGTAGGTCCCTGCCAGCCCCACAGAAGCCCTCGGAGGCTTGCCTGACCTTCAGTGCAGCTATAAACAGCACGGCCTGTCAGCACTGCTAAGAGCTGCCCAAGAAATAACACTACGTGCTCCAGCAGCCCCAAAATTCCAGGAATTGCAGGCACAGCTACCCCAGAATAGTCTCAGCCCATCCCCCTTCCTCTCCCCAGAGACCCTCTGTCCTCAGCATGTCCCCATCACAGCTGGGAGAGTCTGATAAATACCGGAACCGAAACCAGCAGAGGAGGAGGAAAGGCCTCTGGGCTGATGCTCCAGGTCAGCCTGCAGGCAGGGCGGCTGAGGCCCTAGGGACGGAGGGCTTCCATAGAGAGGCGGGCCCCTCCTAGGCCCAGGCTCAGCCTCCCACTTGACCAGCCTCACAACCAGCCCTGGTAGACAACATGTGGAAAGTTTTCACAAGTGCCTGTTAGAAAGTGCTCTCACAGGTGTGGAAGGCACCATTTTATTTTAATTAATTAATTAATTTAGTTTTGAGATGGAGTCTTACTCTGTCACCCAGACTGCAGTGCAGTGGCTCGATCTCAGCTCACTGCAACCTCTGCCTACTGGGTTCAAGCAATTCTCCTACCTCAGCCTGCCGAGTAGCTGGGATTACAGGTGCACACCACCACACCCGGCTAATTTTTGTATTTTTAGTGGAGACAGGGGTTTCACCATGTTGGTCAGGCTGATCTCGAATTCCTGACCTCAAGTGATCTGCCGCCCTTGGCCCCTCAAAGTGCTAGGATTATAAGTATGAGCCCAGTGCCCAGGCCGCTATCCACATTTTAAAAGTGAGAAAAACTGAGGCTGAGCAGGTAAATGAGGCGACACAGCTGACAGCAGCAGAGCCGAACAGAGCATGCTCCTCTCCCCAAAGCCTGGGCATAAAAGGCACAAAGGCGAGACCCTAGACCATGGCTCCAGCCTCTGGCCAGCTGCCAGGGCAGTCGGGGCTGGGCCTTTGGAGCTGCTCCCTCTCTGGGCTGTTCCCCTTCCCCACTTCCTGGAGAACTGGCTGGGGTGGGGTGAGAGGGCAGCTCATGTTGCAGGTGCAGCCACGCCTGTCCAGGATAAATAAAGGTATTTCCCCACCACCCTTCGCTCCCATGCTACCTCTTGAACCCCCTTCTCTGTGGGTCTGCAAGCGGAGACCCTCTGAAGGGAGGCCTTGAGGGGATGCCACTGCCCCAAGGTTGCTGCCGTGGGTCCCTGGGAGCCACCACCCAGCCTGCAGGTGGCCTGTGTCCTTTCAGGAGGAGCTGCAGTGCACACCTGCAGCTGAGAGGGGACAGGCCCTCCCAAGTGCCTCTCTGGTATTCCCAGTCAGAGGGCTGAGCGGGCCGGCATGGGAGTTAGGAGTGACCAGGACACAGGAGATCCACCCATGGCCATCCCTGTCCTGTGAGCAAAGTCAAGCCTCAGTTTGCCAGGCTCTGAAGCGAGGTGATGATCCCAGCCTCACCTGCCTGCCCACCACACAGGGTCACAGGCTCCTGCCTCCGGAGCCCTATGACACAGGCTCAGGTCCTGGCTGGGGTGGGAGTGGGTTTCCTCCAGAGAGCTCTGGCCCTCCCTCCCGCTTAGGGAGATGTCCCTCGTGCAGAAGGGCCTGGTGAGCCGGAAATCCTACGGCCCTGGTGGGATGGTAGTGCTGTTTCCACAAGGCCTGCCTGGCCAGTGGCACTGAACCAGGACACAAGGCCAGGCTACCAGCAGCCCACCACCAGAATTTCTCAACAAGCTTCAAGCCCTGGGGAGGGCTCCAGCACCTAGTCCAGCCTGCTCCATGGCTCAAGTGATTTGGAGTATGCCCCTGAAGGAAGCTGAGAGGCCATTATGCCCATCCCCCAGTGCCCTGCCTGAACTTCAGGTTCTATTATTAAAAGTCCCCCCAGTCACTGGATCCAGCACATCCCCACACACCCCCTCCCCGCAGTAACGACATTCCTCCTGCTATCTAGCTTAAGGCCTCTGGACTGCCATTTAAGCCCCTGGCTGGTTGGGGCCAGGTGGCACATAGACCCTGGGTGAGGTCATTGACTATCCTGAGTGCCACTGGGCCTGGTGGCCAATTTGCACCCAGAGGGATAGGGCAGAGAGCACCAGCAGGAGGCCTCGAGATGGTGGAGCTGGGGCACATGTGGGTGCAGACCCAGGCAGGGGAGGCCACAGGACCTATGAGAGAGCTCCACCTTGTACAGGAATGAGGCCTGCAACCGTGGGGGTGGGAGCTGTGCGGCGTAGTGGGGAATCTGCTGGGGCTCACATGGCCACAGGCCACCACATCATGCAAAGTGTGCTAGGCTGTGGGTGTCCAGGACCCTGTGGTCTCCAGGGCAGTCGGTCTGGAGGGTGGAGTCTCTAGGTTAGCACAAGCCACATCTCCAGGTGAATGACGGAGGGCAGAGCCTGTTCCCTGTGCCAGAGCCAGGCCAGCACCCATCCTGGAAGCATGAGGTCTCTGTGGCTATTATGAGGCTCTCACGGCACCCCTGGGTGGGGCTTCTACTTCTGGGGTCCCCCCAAGTACCCATAGAACCCAAAGTTCCAAAACAGAGACTACTCCTCCAGTGGGGGTGTTGGCTCCTGACCCTCTGCCCAGGCTCCCTGGCACCTCTGCCAAGCACCTTCAGGCCTTGCCCGCTTAAGTGCCTCCCCTCCAACCCCTTCCTTTAGCCCCCAGGCCCCAGCCAAGTCCCTAAGGCCCCAGAGAAGAAACTGTCTTCTTGTTCTCCTGGTAGGCAATAGCCCAGATATCCCTGCCCACCCACTACCCTCCAGTGACAGCCTGGGGACCTCCTCGTCCCGCCTCGTGCCCAGGCCAGCACTGCCAGGGGCTCAGACACCAGGCAGGGTTGTCCTTGCCCTGTATGCCTCACGGTTCACCCTGAGCCTTGGGGCCTTCAGCCCTGTCTTCAGTGTCTACCAGTGCCTTGCTGGGGAGTCTCTGTTTGACAAATACTGAGTGAGCGCCTGCTATGGTCCAGGTGCTGGTCTCCCATCAGTCCTGCTCCTGAGTGCTTCCTCGGGAGCATGGCTAGCTTTCTGCCTTTCTGGTGTTGCTGTCTCCAGCCAGGCAGTAGAGTTACTCAGACAACCCCCAATGTTCTGTGTCATCCGCATCAGGCCGTGCTGCTCCCCGTCACAGACATCACAGGACATGGGGCCATCTCCGCAGGCCCCAGCGCATGTGGGGAACCAGACATGAGACAGACAAAGCAGCCATGGTGAATGGGGAAGAGCTCAAGCAGGTGAGGGAAGAAGGCCCAGCCCCATGAGCCAGAGGGCTGGCGTCTCAAGCTTGGGATGGAGGGGGTGCTGGAGCCCGTACTCAGCCCAGCCCCACGCTCTGACAGCAGGGCAACCAAGGTCAACAGTTTGTCCGTCCGTCTATCCACCTACCCATCACCTGCGCTCTTAATGCTGGGAATCCTCCCTTCCCAAAGCAGCTGCCCATCTCTGGGGAAATGTTCTGGGCTTGGGGGCACCCAGAGCCCACCCTAACAGGGAAGGGATTAGGAAGGCACTGTATTCTCTGCCCAGCTACCTGCCTGCCTGCCTGAAAACTCAGCATTTTCTTCTCTGCTGAAAACACCTACCACCTGTTCATGATTTCTCACACTCGTAACAGGCCAGCAGGCTCCGGTGAGCAAACAGCTGTGGCTGAGAGCAGAGGACCAGGCCAGTCCCAGGGGATAGGACATGCTCTGCTTTCTGAGAGCCTCAGAAAGGACAGACAGACAGACAGACAGATGGACACACATGCCTTCCTCCAAGTGTGCCTGGCCCCTCGGGTGCCAGGCTGTGGCAGGGTGCACTCACCCGGGAGATAGTGAGGGGCATGTTGAAGTCCTTGCCCCCCTGCAGACGGAAGCCCCAGGGCCCGGGCCCAGTCAGGGTCACACTGTAAGACATGCCGGTGCTGTCAGCAGTCACCTCTGTGAACAAAAGGTAGAGAGGATTGAGTGAGAGGGCACTCACACACTCCGCCTGCCCGGCCCGCACCTCTGTCCCTGCCCCTGCCCCCCTGGCCTTGCCTGTTCTGTCCCTTGCTGCCCGGCAGGGCTGTGTGGAGCTCCTGAGAGGCTCCTAAGAATAGCTGGGAGCGAATGCCATCGACACTGATATCTGCCCTCGGCTGCGCCCATAAATGGACTGTAACCCTACACTGTGCCCGCCCGCCTGTGGCCTCCCAGCCGGTCCACCGTGACTCACACGGCTAATATAGCCCCTGGGGAGGGATGTCCGGCACCCAGCACCCCTCAGGGGGCAGGAAGGGGGACTGGCCAGGTTGGTGAGAATGCCCTGGTCTCCTTGCTCCTGTGTCCTCTGGAGAGCGCAGACACTTGCTCTTCCTGCTCCGTGGTACCCATCCTCTTGCTCAGAAGATAGGGGGAACCTGAGCTCCCTTGGGCAGGGACTTTGCTGCCCTGTGGTCCTCGCCCAGGATTCTAAGCTTGTGCTTTATCCAATGTGGCGCCCTGGAGGTGCCTGAGCTGAGGCTCTAGCTGGTCTGGGACTGGCCCAGGGTTGTCCAGCCGTAAAAATGATCATAATAGCAGCAGCTCTGGGCATGGCCAAGCTCAGCACGGGCCCTTCACTCCCTGGGATCCTGAGAGGCTGCCACCTGGGCCTGCAGGAGACAAGCCTCAGGGAGGTTAAATGACTTCTCCAAGGTCACGCAAGGAGTGGACCCAGGCCACACTGGAGCCTGGGCCGATTCCTACAGGATGTATGCCAGATCATGGGCTCCCAGTGGCCATGGATGCCTCCCAAAGCCCTGGTCCTGGGCAGCTGGCCCTCTGCTTGCACCCCCTTGACACGGGGTCTGAAAGTAGGTCTGAGGCAGGCCCACCCCTTCCAGACCCCCTGGGGGCCCGGCCAGTTATTCCTGGCTCTCCTGTCTCATTTGTACTCTGGAAAACTTGACGGCAGCATGCAAAGCTCCAGCTGCCAGTGCCACACACCAGGCCCTGTGCCCTTTGCACAGGAATGGCGGGGGCAGGGAGAAGGGAGGAGACGCCATTTGCTCAGCTGCTAGGACACAGGGCCAGGAGGGGTAGGGAAGAGAAGCATGTGTGGCATGTTCAGCCCGTACCCCAGAGACAATGTGTTCTGGGTGGGGGCCTTGGCGCCTTGGGACTTCTGGAGTGTGGTCTTTGGGCCAACCCCTTCCTCAAGAAAGACCTCAGGTCCCTATGTAGTCTGGAGATAGATCAAGGCCCACCCCAGCTCCCTGGTTGGGGAAACTGAGGCTCAGGGGAGGCAACTGGATTGGCTGCTTGCTGGCCCTCTTGGAGGGCTCTGGCTTGGACCCTCAGGAGTCAGTGCAGGCCTGGGTGTGAGTCATTTCTCAGCTTCCAGCCTTACACCTGGCGTCTGGCACATGCAAAGCGCAAGGTAGGATCGTCCATATTACTGGGTTGTTTGGTCACTTGCCCAAGGTCACAAAACTATCAAGTGGAAGAAGCCAGGGAAAGACCTGTGTCCCTTCCCCACTTAATCACCTCCTTCACCCTATATCACGCAGCCCAGCCTAGGAGGCCAGCAGTCCATGGCCAGCATCCCTCCCCCGTACCATTCCCTGCCCCTCCTGGCAAAGCCCCGTGACATTCATCCCTAACTCCAGCCTTATGCCCTTTCCTAGGGGTGTCTGTCCATCCTGCCAGTCTGGGGAGGACCCAGCAACAGGGCATAACCAGTATGGGAGAAGGAAGGCACCCACCCTGCACAGGGCTGGGGAGCTGGGGGAGGCTGTACCTGGAGCTGCAGGCTCTTTCTCTGGCCTCTGGCTCCTGCCTGATGAAGCTCGCCTCTGGGGAAAGGGAGCGGTGGCAGGAGAATGCTCTTAAAGGCAAAGGCCGGCCTCCCTCCATCTGCCTCCCCCCGGGAGACCTGAAGCCAGTCAGAGAGCAGCTGGTACCCATGGGTTGGGCGGAGCTCAGTGGCTCACTGGGGAGTGAGTGGGGATGGGGGCCAGCCTGGCCTTTGTCCCTTCTCTTTGGTGCTCCCTGCAGTTCGAGGTGGGCCTGCAGAGTGAAAGTCCCAAGAATGGGGACAGAGGGAGGGGAGGAAGTGAAGTTTCTGGAGGCATCAGAGGCCAGGCCCTGGTTCTCGCTCCCATAACAGCACCAAAAGGTAGAGACCATATTTGTCTGAGGACACCTCTGCTGTTTATTTTCCTATACCTGTCAGATCCACACAGCCCTGGGAGGAGCTGAGACCACTACATGAAACGAATCACAGATGCAGAGTGCGCACGCATGTGCTTGGTGTGCATTCAGATAGGTAGCTACGGGAGAGCGTGTCTGCAAATGCCCGTGTGCACAGGAATGTGGGCCACAGCGACAACGGTATGCTGGGGGAAGAAGCCAGAGGTAAGTAACTGTTCCAGTGTGCAAAGGGAGGTCTGTGCTTGGCTTCAGCTCTTGGCAGTGGGAGATGCGGGGCTGGACTTCCTATGCCAGTGACAGGCCCAGCCTGGGTACAGAAGCTCATAAATAGCTGTGTGTTCCCTGGAGCCATCACCATTGTCATCGGCTGGACAATTGCAGCACACAGCATTTGAGGAGAGGCAGACAACTCGGGAAGCCGGAGGGCCTGGGCACATACCCTTCAGGCTGAGCCTGGGGTGCAGCTGCTGAGTTGGAAAGTGGGTGCGGAGGACATTCTGGGGCAGGAGTTTTGAAGTGTGGAGAGGGGACATGGGGGTGGGACTTCGAATTCCATGCAGCACGGGTGACAGGACCCCTTCCAGAGCCTGCAGGCTCACAGGGTAATCCTGGATCTGTGTGTATGCAGGAGATGTTGGGGGGCTGGACGTGTCCCAGAAGAAAGGGAGGGCCAGTGGGCGTCCTACATCCTGGGGTCCAGGCTGGGGAGCAGCCCCTTGGTCTGCAAACAAACAGCACACATCTGTTTAGTGGAGGAGCAGTTCACTGGAGGCAGTCTCTCAATGACCCTCCATACACTGGGTCACCGAGGGCTAGGGGAGGTTGCATGGAAGGGCCAGATTGTGTCCTGGGTCAGGGATGGGCCTTCCCAGAGTCCACATGCCAGAGTAGGAACCAGCAATGCCTAGTGTTGCCTGCACAGCAGCTCCTGGGATGCTCCCCGGGCTCTTGACTCCCTGGGCCACAAATGAACTCATCCTCACCCCCACCAGCCAATCCTCTCCTCTCCTCTCCTCCACATGTGGAGACTGCAATCACCCCTCGCTCCGCTGCCCTTAAATGGATCATTCCTTGCCTGCCCTGCAGCACTGGTTTCCTCTGGTCTTCACCTTGCAAAGCTGACCAACCCCCTTCCGGGGCTACTTGTCCCCAGATCAGGTCTGGAGACACCTCAGGCCAGTCCCTGATGGGGCCTTCCCACTGCTCCTACCACTTCCTGCCCCTCTTCGCTCTCCTTTGTCCCCCACTGCCAATTTCCAGGGTACCTCTGGCCGGTATCTCCTGGAACAGAGAGACATCCTGCTCCAGGGTATGTTGAGCTCCCTCCCCTGTGCCCCTGTGCCCCTGTGTTTACACAGTCACACAGGCTGTATCCTCATCTTGGACCACTCAGTGCTCCCCACACTCCCTGCCCCGGCTGACTGCAGATCCCTGCTTCATTTCTACCTTCCTGAGGAGCGTTGGGGACTTGCCCCTGCTTTCAGTACCCTGTGTGCTCACACCTCGATGACAGCACTTATCACATGTGTTTGGTGACTGCTGATGGCTGCCCAGCACCCCAGCCCAGCCCAGTATCCCTCCAAGACAGGCACTGTGTCTTTCATCAGTGCCTGGTCAGCCTGGGGGTCACTGCCAGGCCTTTGTCCTGGCCTTTGTGGCATGCACAGTGCCTGGACTCCAGGACAGGGGGCAGTGCCCTTTGGGGGAATGCTGGGGGAGGCTGAGGTACCCCAACTGCAGGGACAGCCCAGGGCTCTAGTTCTTGGACGCACAGGGCACAGCACTCGGGAAGGAAGAAAGGCAGGAATGTGCCTTTGGCCTTGGACCAGCTAGGGAAGCCTGAGGAGCCCAGGAGCCGAGCTGGGGGTGTTGTGTGGGTGTGACAGGAGGGGCAGACAGGGAGCTGTCAGCTGGGGCGAAGGGCTGCCTGGGAGCCTGTGCACATGGCATTTCCAGTGTTCCAGAATATGGCCTTCTCTAATCGCCATCGACATTCCATTCGATAGGCACTTGGGCGACAGCTGGCCTTCTTTTAATAGCCACAAGTGTTCCGAGTGACATCCTGATCTCAGGACATTCATGGTGAGCACATACACAGCTTGCAGCCCCTTCCTCCCCAGGTATGTCCAACCAACACAGAGAGGTACACATCACCCACACTTGGTTACATGCATAGCTTACAGCAGACACATTGGAGCACGCTCAGTCATGGGTGTCAGAGTGACAGAGCATGCGCCGGACACATGGCCACACACATGCTCGAGCTATGCTCTGCCGGCTGCAGATCCCCTAACCTCGTGGACACACACAAGTACACTCATCATGGCACAGCACAGCCAACAGCGCTGTGCAGAGTCAGAGTTACACGATCACACACAGGCAAGTGCAGACCACATGCAGGCCCTGCTCAGAGCATCTTGGAGTCACAGAGACCCCCAGACGGACAAGGAAGAGCTGCGAGGTGCTGGGAGCAGGTGATTCCTGAAGGGTGTCGCCCCCGCCCACGAGAAGAAGGCCCCCTTTCCTGGCCACTCCCTGGGCTACTCGCCCCTAGTCCCCACCCCCTTATGGATTGGCAGGTACCGGATCCAATCACCTTCCCTGGAGTCTCTGCTTCCCGTCCCCGGGGTCTGTGCGGTGCCTTGGCTTCCAAGTCCTCCAGACCCTGACCGTAGAGGGACCGCCCGTTCGCTTGATGGGCAGCTCCCCACACAGCTGCTGCCTCCATGTGTGTCCAGCCCTGGGAGAGGTGAGAGAGTGACTCTGAGGTGAGAGGACAGTCCACAGCTTTGGTCCTGCCCCTCCCCCACCAGGCCCTCCTCCATCCTCCCCACAGGTATTCATTGCGGGAGGCCCCGACACCATTTGCACGGTTGCTGGTCACTAAATAAAACCCGTAAATTGTGCGTGCCTGTGACAGGGTGTGTGTTGGTGTGTGCGCGTGCGTGCAGGTGTGTTCCCCATCTGCACACCTGCACACTTTCCTAAGCACGCGGCTATTTATATTTGAATAGATGGGTGGTCTTCACGAGGGTCTAGGCCTCCATTAACAGATTAGATTTTTCTTTGTTGTTCATTACAGTGGTTTACAGGAGGGACCCCTGACAGCTCCTCTCAGTCCCTCAACTGAAACCCCCAGGGATGCTGGCAGCCCAAGGCGATCAGTGGCTGAACAGTCGGCGGCAGCTCTTGCTGAGGCCCACAGAGGGCGCTGTAGGTAGAATTAAGGAGGAGCCCAAGTGCGGCGGGGCCAGGAGCTGGTGGCATACGGAGCTTTCCTGGGGGTATCTAGGGGCAGCAGAGCTGCAGGCGCCAAGGAGGGCTGACACTCATCCCTGGGCACACCTGGCCAGCGTTGATGTGAGACACCCGTTTTCCCTTTCAGAGGAGGACGTGCAGCCCCAGAGGGGTTAGTGACCTGCCCAGTCTCCCACAGCAAGCACGTGGTAAGCTGAGGCTCAAAGCCACGTCTCCCATCTCCAGGGCCCATGCCCATCCTGTGGGCTCTTCAAGGCTCCCAGGAGGAGGGGGCTTACTGCTGAGGAGCAAGGAGCTCCAAGCTAACTCCTGTCTTGTCTATCTGGAGCCCTATCTAGGGCCAGATGCACTGATCTCTTCAAGCTGCGGCTCTAGGGAGAGTGTCAGTGTGAAAAAGGACATGGCCTGGAGTTGGAAGACCTGTGTTCAATCCTGGCCCCACTCCTGGGAACCCCCAAACCATCCCCTCTCTGGCCCTAGTGCCCTTCCTATCAGGGAGGATGATGAACTCCATGGGGGTGTTGGGAGGGGCTCTTCCTGCCAGGGTGCCAGCATCCTGAGGGTCCGTGAGTCTCAGAGGCAGCTCTGCCAGAGCCCATGTCCCTCCCAGAGCCCTAGGGCTGCCTGAGGAAGGGATGGCCAGGCGCAAGCTGGTGAGGGCCCGGGGTCCTTACCACCTCACTCTCTGAGCCCAGGGACTCCTGGCGCCTTCTTCCAGAGATCCAGCTGAGGTTGGAGGTGTGGCTGATCAGTGTGGAGCGGTGGGTGGAGCGGTAGCTGGGGTAGGGGTTACTGTGACGGCGTGATACACCCAGCAGCACCCCCAGGCAGGGCAGGTGCTGGGCAATGGCCACCCTGCAGGGGCCGCACATCTGATTAGGGCCAGGGGATGGGCAGACAGATGCAGGGGAGGGGATGGATGCACAGGCTGGTACAGGCCTAATGTACGGTTACGAGAGCCTTTGGGAAGTGGAGAGGCTGAGACCCTGGGAACTATGGCAGGTGATGAGGACAGAAAGACAGACGCTGGGTGGGAGACTGACAGGCTCACAGGGCTGGGGGGAGGGACAGACAGACTCTGGGTGGTAGGCATGCAGGGAGTGCCTAGGGATGTCAGTTCCAGCCTTCAAGTGGCTGGCCTAAGCCACATCTCTGGTAATGGTGACGAGGGACACTCCTGAGCAGCCTCTGTGCTGGATGCGCTCAGGCCTGCCACTGGCCTTGGAAGGGCAGTGAGTGACTGACACCGCCAGGCAAAAGGAAGCACGGAGGGAGAAGCGGCCTTGCTGGGTTGCTATCAGCACACACACTGGCCCAGAGCCACCCCAGGCCCCTGCCAGGCCCTGGAAGCAGAGCTGAGCACTCCCTGCTGTTGTCTTTTTAGGATGACACTATTCGGGGGTGCTTAACTTCACAGGACTGTCCTGGCTGCCCTACACCCCAGCTCTGAAGGTCCCATAGTTAGGATTGGACACTGCCCAGGGAGCCCTGACCTCCCTCCACACTGTGCCCCTGGGAAACGGGCAGGGGAGGGAGGCACACTAACTCCAGACCCCACTCAGTGTTACTGGCTGTTCCCAACTGCTGGTGGCGCCCATCCAACACACATACAAGAGACAGGAAAGGTGGTGGCCCCAGCCCCCATCTGCAGGCCAGGCCCTCAGAGGCCATGGTGTGGGATCCCAGGAAAGAGCCACACCTGTACTTGGGGTGGGTGATGGCATAAATGATGGGGTTGTGGATTGCAGAGGCCTTGGCGATGACGGCTGGCACTGAGCTCATGTAGGGTGTCAGGACGTGTGCATACCTAGGACAGAGAAGGTGTGGTCCCCAAGCTAGCTGGCCCTCCTGACGTACCTTCTCTGGGCCAGGCCCTGCCAAAGCCCAAATCCTAATCTGGCCCAAACCAGCACAGCTAAGTCAGCCCTATAGGGAAGAATTGGCAGTGCCAGGATAATTATTGATTTTTTTGCTCTGTCACCTGGGCTGGAGTGCAGTGGTGTGATCTCAGCTCACTGCAACCTTCGCTTCCTGGGTTCAAGTGATTCTCCTGCCTCAGCCTCCCGAGTAGCTGGAACTATAGGCGCCCACCACCACACCTGGCTAATTTTTGTATTTTTGGTAGAGATGGGGTTTTATCATGTTGGCCAGGCTGGTCTCCAACATCTGACCTCAGGTGATCCACCTGCCTTGGCCTCCCAAAGTGTTGGGATTACAGGCATGAGCCACCACACCCAGCTTGTGCCAGGAGTGAACTCCATCTAAGTTCATCTGAGTGAACTCCATCCCCTGAGTGAGTGGGATGGAGCAGCAGATGGCTGAGAGTGTGGCCCTGGAAGGAAGATGTGCCAGGTTTGGGGTGAAAGGACCCAGGTCCACTGTCCCTTGGAGCCTGTACTGCTGGCGATACCCCGCTTACCCCCATTGACTCTGATCCTTGGAGCCCAGCTCTTCCCACGTTCCACCCCAACCATGAGAAACCCCACAGTAGGGCCCTGCGGGGACCAGGCCATTCCTAGAAGGTGTCCTGTCTAGACAGTTCCAGTGTTTAATAGCCCTCACTTCTCAGAAGCGTTTCTGAAGTTGAGCCTGCATCCATGCTGCTGCGGTTGTCACAATTCCCAGACTCTAGCCACAAAGGGCTAGAAGGGCAGCTCTCAGGGACCCATTCCTGGAGGTGGGCAGCACCTCTGGCTGTGTGACCACAGCCCAGGCAGAGAGGGAAGAGAGGGAGCTGTGTGTTCCAAAGGGACTGGCAGGCCGTCTGCCCAAAGCTGTGTGGGGCTCAGAGCTCCTCTGCATGTGCCCTGGTGCCTCCAGGAACTAGGTGGCCCCCCACCCACCTTGGGACTGGGAACCTTACCCAGGGAGAGAATAAGCTGTGAGGATGGCTGGCCGGGGTTGGCTGGGAGGGAGACGCTGCCCAGACTTCTTGCTCCTGCCCCCTCCTTCAGACTCTTCCTCAACCCTTTAGCCACTGCTCACCCAGCGAAGGCCACCAGGGCCACAGCGGAATAGGGAGCCCAGGAGAGCACAAAGAGGAGGATGACCAACAGCATGATCTTGGCCATCTTGCACTCGCTCTGCAGCCGCTGCCGCTGCCACAGGGACTCGCCACTGCCCTTGCAGGCCCCGAAGGTCTGGAGAGCCCTAGGAAAGATGCATAGTCTGGGTCTGACCACAGCTGGGTGCCAGTGAGCACCAGGGGCACAGCTGCTATCAGGGAGCCTCCCTGACTATCCTTGGGGGGCACTCAGGAGAGTCATTCCTTCCAGTGCAGGCAGCCCTGACTTCCAGAAAGTTTTCCATGATGTGAGGCCTCATCTGCCCCCCATGATTCTGTGTGCCTTCTCGGCCCCCTCAGCCATGCCTAAAAGCCATCCCCAGAAGCCCTTGTCTACTGAGGCTTCCGTAGACACCACTGCCCCATAAGCACGTGCCCAGCCTGCTTTCACCCACTGGGCATGCTCTGGTGGGCTGGTGCAGGTATGAGTGGTGGGGCAGGGGCCGCCTGGCCAAGGGGCCAGCCCCTTTCCTGTAGTCCCCCTCCATGCTTGGCTCTTACCGTCCTGTCTCCCGGATGGCCCTGAAGATGAAGATGTAGCAGTAGATGATGATAAGCAGAGGGAGAAAGAACACGAAGCAGCAGAGAAGCATGGTGTAGGCGCGCACGGCCGGCGTGAAGCTCATGTAGTCCCAGGAGCAGGATGTCAGCAGTCCCTCAGGCACGTAGGCGCCTGAGAGCCAGAACAGGCACTCAGCCTTTGGGGTGGCATTGACCTCGGCTCCTTATCTGGCAGGAGCTTTGTATGTGGCATTCGGGTCCCCATACATGGCCCTGGCCCCTGACCTGGCCTTGTCCAGTGCAGTAAGGAAGCTGGAAGGAGTATGGATGTCCTGCAAAGCCCGCTGACTCCCATTCCTGCTAGATTTGAGCAGAAACCTTACTGTAACTGCAAGGCTGTGCTTGCCAGGGCTTCAGCCAAAGGCCTGGTCTTGCCCCAGGAAAGCTACTGCCTTGCTCTCCACTCCTCCACCTGCAGAGGCCTCATACCCCAGCCCCTGCCTGGTCTGACTCAGCATCAAAAGTACCTGTCACTTTGTCCCATGCAGAAAGTCTCTGTATGTGAGGAGCAGCTGCTCAGGAGATCCTCTGGCCCCTGATGGGGCAGTGTCAGTTTCCCTTGCTGAATGTCCAACTGACCTGAGGCTCAGGTGGTTCCTGGACACCCCTGCTCCCCACCAGCTGGCTGACCCAAGCCCATCTACCTCCCTTTGAATGTGCCCCTCCCAGCCTATCCGCCCCTCTTCCAGTTCCACCAGCTCACTTACTCCAGCCAAAGAAGGGTGGCAGACTCCAGGCCAGGGCATAGAGCCAAACGCCCAGCAGGACAAACGCTGCACGCCTCTTGGATGCCACACCAATGGTGGCCAGTGGGCGTGTGATCACCAGGTAGCGGTCCAGGGCGATGGCCGTCAGGGTGATCATGGAAGAGATGCCAAAGAGAGCCCCACAGAAGGCATAGAACTCACAGCCTGTAGGCACAGCCCCTGCGCTGAGTCCTGGGGAGGAGGGTCTGGGGCCGAAGTGCACTGTGCTCCGGCCCTCCCCTCGCAGGAAGAGCAGGCCTGAGTGCTCCGTCCCCTCCACCTGCCACATCTGGCCAAGGCTGGCAGAAGCCTCAGGACCAACACCACGTCTTCCCTTCTTGCTCATTCATGGGACTGAGGGCAGCTACCCACTCTCTGCCCAGGAGCAGCAAATCACCTCCTCTGGGCCACCCTCCACCATGGGCATTCCCAGGTCAAAACCCCCCTCCTCCCTCCAGTAAAAGGGACCCCCAGTGTCTACCTGTCTCCCCAAAGAGCCACTGCTTATAGAGGCTGCTGGCGAAGAAGACTGGGGCCTGGGTGAAGGACATGAGGAAGTCGCTGACCGCGAGGTTGATAATGAACATGTTGGCAGGTGTCCGGAGGCCTCTGCTCCTGGGAGGGTCGGAAGCTGTTATGAGGTGCTTCCTGACACCTTCAGAGCTATGGGGAGCTTTCTGTACCCTCCAAGCACACATGTGCACACACGTGCCACACACTCACACATGCACACACACGTATGCCTACAGACAGGCATGAGCTGCCGGGCCACAGAGCTAGCCCACTGGCTGGCAGGGACCAGCCGAGCAGCTGTTGAATCCAGCAGTGCTGGCTGAATGAGGACCCCAAGACAGCTCCCTCAGAGTGAAGCAGGGGACAGTTTCTCTCCAAAACCTGAGAAGTGGCCCAGCACAGGCCGGTTCTTGGGTAATGTCCCTTTCCTCTTCTCGCCCTCTAAATCCCTCTTCATGACTCACACCATCTCCTTGGCCAATTCGCTGGTTTCGTTGAGTCCCTCCAGGCCAAGGCCTCCCTAGGGGCTTCTGCTCAGGCTCCTCCTCCTGCGTGCCCTGACTGTGCCTTCCCATGGCTTCTCACGCCTCCCTCCTCCCCCACCCTTTCTCCAGTGTCACGTTCTGCCTGCGCCCTGCCAGGCACACTGCCTCTCCAGTCCTCACCCTTGGGGATGGCAAAGGGCAGAGATGCTGACCGCCGCACATCACAGCTGGGCCAGGCTCGGCCACCAGCCTCAGCCCTGTTGTCAAACTTCTTTCCATCTACCCTGAGGGAGATCTCATTGTTCCCATTTTCCAGACAAGGCACTCCCACCCATGAAGTGACTCGCTCCAGTGCACAGCACTCAGCAAGTGGCTCATTTGCGGGGCAGTGCACATCCGTGAACTTACTGCATCATCACAGTGACTGCATGAAGCACAGCTCCATTTTGCAGGTAAGAAAAGGTGAACTTAAGGAGGAAAAATGAGGTGCTCAGTCCTTCAGCCACCAAGCCAGGCAGGGGAGCAGATGGAGAGGGACACTGGGGGTGGGTGTCAGAGGTGTTTGAGAAACTTGAGGATCCTGGTCCCCAGGGCTGCTCTTTTTTTTGGAGGGGTGGTATGGAGATTTGCTCTGTTGCCCAGGCTGGAGTGCAGTGGTATGATCTTGGTTCACTGCAAGCTCCACCTCCCAGGTTCAGGCAATTCTCCTGCCTCAGCCTCCCAAGCAGCTGGGATTACAGGCACATGCCACCACACCTGGCTAATTTTTGTATTTTAGTAGAGATGGGGTTTCACCATGTTGGCCAGACTGGTCTCAAACTCCTGACCTCAGGTGATCTGCCCACCTCAGCCTCCCAAAGTGCTGGGATTACAGGCATGAGCCACTGTGCCAGGCCCAGGGCTGCTCTTCAAGGTAGAGGGAGGATACTCTCTGGGGCAGGTGATGGCAGAGGTAAGCTGAGAGCAGGGCAGAATGGTCAGAGACCCACCTCCACATATTCTGGGCACACACCGCCTCCACAGAGGATGCACCTGGGTCTCAACTGGCGCCAGTCAGTCAAGCTTCCCTGGACCATTTTTGGCCCTTTCCCTGACCTTGGGGAAGACATGGCCCCGCCCTCCCTGCCTACCCTCAACAGTGCCCTGGACAGAGTTGGAGCCAACAGTCCTGCCAGCATGTTCTTCCCCGTCTGCATGGCTGCCACCCTGAATGCCCCGGGCCCAGCACTACCAGCCAGGCACCTGCAGAAGGTATAGATGACTGTCAGGTTGCCCAGCATCCCCGTTACTCCCACCAGCAAGATCACTGTGCCCAGGGTATAGTGGGCATGGTCTGGAACATCAACCGTGGGGAAGGGGATCCAGGCAGCAGCCCAAGTCCCAGCTGCCTGCAGAGACAGAGAAACAAGGGAATCATATTATTCCTTGTCACTTTCAAGTAGTCCTGAGAAGGAAGAGTTAGGATTCTCAACAGGGCAGGTGGGAAAACTGAGGCTCAGAGCGGCAAAGTCACTTGCACACACAGCTCATAAGTGGCCTTTCTAAAGTCCTTTCTAAAGTTGAGCCCAGGCTCCTAGATCATGGCACAGGGGCCTTCCAGGAGTGGGCTCAGATCACCGGCTGGAGGCTGGTAGGACAGACAGACATGCACCTGGCAAGCAGGGACGTGGCCTGGGTCACCCTATCTTTCCTTGGGGAGAAGGCAGAGCCAACTCCTGGGAGCATCCCTGCCTGCAGTATGGACTCCAGCCCAAGTGCCCAAGACAGTGTTTGAGGCCTCTAGACGTTGGGCTCGTGGAGTCGGGTGGAGCCCTTCTCAGGAGTCCCGTCCCTTTCTGAGCCTTAGAGGAGAAGCTGCCTTGCCCCATAGCGTAACTTAGTACAGCTGACCTTGATGCCTGGCATAAAAATGAAGGGAATTCCCTTTAGAAAGAAAGCCTAGGCCTCTCAGGGTCACTGAAGGGAGGTCATAACCGTATGAGGTCAGGACAAAGGGATGTAAAGACTCCTCCCACCCTAACCCCTTTCTGGAGAAGAGAGGGTGGCTTGGTCTCTATCCTGCCCCAGTGGCCCCTATAGCTACTGGAGCCTTCCCATCCTGTCCAGCACCTGGGCCAGCATCCCCAGGTCCTGAGGGGTGCCCTCAGCCCTCTCCAGTTAGCAGTGGTGTTGATGAAATGTGACCCTGGGCCTGGGCTAGGATGATGAAGGTGGCAGAAGGCACCTGACGCTTCACTGTGGGCTGGGCGGATCCAGAGGCCCAGGATGTGCCCTCCTCCCTAGAGGGCTCCATGGGGTATCTGAGCAGCCTCTGAAAGGAATGGGTGCAGCCAAGGTCAGGTCTGGCCATTCCAGCCCCTTGTTCTCAGGCTGGCCTTTCTATTCCTTGAACACTCTCCATGAGGGAGGACATTGCTTGTACCCTCCTCTATCAGCCCGTTTATCAGGGGGTGGGTTTAGAGAGGTCCAGTAATGGCTCAAGGCCCCACAGCAGAGTTCAGACCTTTTCTATCTCCCTGTCAAAGCCCCTGTGTGTGCCCTGGAGGGGACCAGGAAGGGGACAGGGAAGGCTCTGTGCATGCACATGCTTGCCCAGGCTTACCGTGGGGCTGATGGATGGAAGCTGGCTCAGGCTGGAGATGCTGCTCTGGGAGCTGTCCCACCTGCTTGGTGGGGCTGGGGTGGTCATGCAGCTAGGCTCCTGGGTTGGGTTCGGCAGGACTCTGGATCCTGTAGGAAGGTTCATCCTGAGCTGGGATGGTCCTTGCTCGAGCACACAGAGAAGTCAAGGGCACAGGGATCTCAGGTCTTCAGCTGTGCTCAGCCTCCCAACTTGCTTCCATCCTCAGCACCCTTGCTCAGCCTGCTGGCTGCTGGCTCCTGTGTCCAGCACAGATCCAGGCCTGGAGCTGCTCTTGGGGCTGGCGGCTGTGCCTGTGTCTGGTGAAGCGCAAAGGAGTGAGTGTCCCGATTATGGTGACTCAGCCATGGAGTTCATCCCCATATTTATATAGTGGTGTGGGAGCTGCACATGCTCAGTCGCTCATGCCTCCAGCTCGCTCGGACAAAGGTCCCTGGGTGTCTCTCTACGAAGGTCTGATGATGGTGGCATGAATGTGTGTGTGTTTCAAGGGAGATTTGTGGGATGATGGTGGCATGAATGTGTACGTGAGTGTGTGCAAGTGTTTCAAGAGAAATTTCTAGGATGATGGTGGCATGAATATGTGTGTGTGTGAGTGTGTGTGTTTCAAAGATTTCTGGGATGATGGTGGCGTGAATGTGTGTGTGTGTTTCAAGAAAGATTTCTGAGATGACAGTGGCATGAATATGTATGTGTGTGTGTTTGTGTGTATGTGAGTGTGTGTGTATGTGAGAGTGTGTGTGTGAATGTGTGTGTATGTGTTTAGGTGTGTGAATATGTGTGCACATGTGTGTGTGTGTGTGTAGGGGTTTAACAATTCCTCGCAGCTGGGAGCATTTCTGAGTCAACACAACGTCCCATTCAATGTGGACCCCACTCTCCAACCTGTCCACACAACCACAGGCCTCAAAAGAGCACTTCAAAGAAAGGTCAGAGGACTCGAAGCCCCCCTCTTGGGGCCTTTGGAAGCCCACGTCTCACCTGACAGCATCCTTTATCCACGGCCCGTGCACTGCAGCCCTGTGGGTGACACTGACATCTCCTCTGGGGCCCCGCCCCTCACTCCTGAGCTTCTGTCCCACTGGGAATGCCCCCCATGGTGCTCGTGCTCCCAATCTTTGCACCCCGCATCCACCCGGCGGCTTGTGTGCCCAGAGCTTGCCATCCAATGGAGCCAGAAGGGTCACGTGGGCAGCCTCAGCCTCCAGGTCTTCCCTGTGACTACTGCTGCCCAAGCTGTCCTGGCTGGAAGCTGTGGTCTGATGTGTGGGAACCCTGGCCTTCCATCACTGTCCTCTGATCAGGTGGCTCCTGTCCTCCCGCCCAGGTGCCCGGCTGTGTTTACTTTCCCTGAGCACTTCTCCTCTTCCACAGGCTTGATGCAGGAGGCGGGGTCGGGCAGCCTCTCGAGATCCCTCCTGGTTGCCCACTGATGGTCCCAGGGGCCTGTGCCATCCAAGGCTCTCAACGCAGGGACAAGTGGGGAAGGGGTCCTCATTGTCCTCCCAGTCCCCACTCAGGCTGGTGCCCACTCCCTTGGAGATGGTCCTGGGCATCTCCTCCTCCCCCAGTGCCATTCCCGGGGGCAGGCTGACCTCAGCACTTGGTGCCGGGGTTTCCAATGGGGCTGAGGTAGCCACCACATCTCCCCTCCATGGCCCCACTTTGCTCTGGTTCCTCCCTTACAGCCCTTGCTTCCTGCTGCAGCCCTAAAGGCAGGTAGAAACACAAATTCCAGACAGAGAATCTCACACTTAATCCTTCGATGGCTTCCATAGCTCTTAAGACAGAGACAGCCTGAATGTGGCAAGGCAGGTGGAGGGAGGTGCTACATCACCTAGTATGTGGGGATAAAAAGTGGGTTTTAGGGGGAAACACATACACCGAGGCTCAGCAAAAAGAGGCACACTGTTTCCTCTGTGTGTGCATGGGCCAGGCTGCTGTCACTGCATGGGGCTCAGTGTCCCCAGGGACCTGCCCTGTTCCTGCCCCTTTTCCATGCATGCTCCTGAGCAGCCCTGTTTTCGGGACAAGTAGTTGAGCTCAGGCGCCAGGCAGTCTGTGTGTGGCTGCCAGCTGACTGGGGAGCTGTCTGAGAGCACCAGCTGCCAGCACCTGGAGACCTTGCTGGAAGCTGGATTAGGCCTTGCAGGAGGAGGAGGCCTGATCCCATGGGGAGCTGAGTTCAGGTGTGGCTTCTCTTGAAAGAGGAGGACCCACTGAACCTGCCTAGCTCCGTGCCTGGAGACCAGGCTGGCCTCCTCTCAGACCACCAAAGGCACACAGCCCCTCTGGTCACCCAGCCTCTGCTCACACACTGCTCCTGAAACCTTCCCCTGCCCCCTGCTCTGGATCTCGGCACAAATTCCACCTCCTCCAGGCCTCTAAGTGCCCAGCTGTTCACCTTCTCCTGTCTGTCCCTCGGCACATCCACTGATGGTGTCATTTGCAGTCACTGTTGTCTGACCACGTCTGTCTCCCTCCTTGGAATGCAAACAGGTCTGTTTTGTTCATCTTTGAGACCCACTGCCTAGCAGAGCGCCTAACACTTTGCATCAGGAAACCCAAAATCTCCCTGGTCCTTGCTTCTCAAAGTGTGGCCGGAGAACTGGCCGCTGATGTATACCCCTCCTGCAGCTTGTTAGAAACACAAGGCTTCCCAGACCTGACTCAGGTATGGATGCCCGAGGTGTGTCCATCCTCACATTAAGTGGGTGAAATGCTGGTGTAGGCTCTTGGGAGGACTTCAGGGGTTGGTAACAGGTGGTGAAAGAGCCGATCTGAGGGGACACTGAGGTGACCCAGAAATTAGCGCCAATAGTGCACATTGCCATGGCCGAGGCTGGAAAGACCACAGGAGGAAGGGGCTGCTGTGATTCCAGGGGCTGGGGCTCTCCAGCTGGGTGCCACCAAGGCAGGACGCTCACAAGGAGGCATGGCTACTGGAGAGGTGCATGGTGAGCAGAGCAGGGATGTGGGGTCCTCACTGCCCCACTCTGGCCTCCCATTTTCTGCAGGAGCCTTGCCATGGTCAGGCCTGGGAAGGAAGCTGGGGAGATGTGTTTCCTGCAGCAGAGAGCAGAGCAGGGCAAGGTGATGGAGCACACGGCAGCTGTCCTCACACACGTGATGTCCTTCCCTCCACCCAACCCCACCTGCCATCATAGCCAGTAGATGGTGTGTCCCTAGCCCATGGCCTATAGGTCAGCCCTCCCATGTAACCCACAGGGGCCCTTGGGTGGGCAGCATTTGGTGGCTGTCTGCCTGGCCAGCCACTGGATCAGCCTGAGCCATGCTTCTGCTTGGCCTGGCCTAGGAGTCTATGGCCGATCACCTCTGCTCCTCCCCTCACCGCTCCAGGGAGACCCAGAGGGCCAAGTGTGTGCAGTGGTACATTTAGCCCTGGCCCACAGCTCCACACTGAAGCTGCCTGCTCTTCACACTTCACTGCCATGGCTGGAGGTGGGAAAAGCTTTCTAGCCCTTCATCCTCAGGGGAGTAGCAGGGCCACAGGAGCAGGAGGCCTGAGAGCTACCCTGGGGCTGCACAGAGGGTCCAGGGCCAGGCTGGGGCAGCAGGGACAGGAAGTGCGCTATTTAGAAACGACTCAGCAGCAGGCCCTGGAATCAATCAGCCTTCCTGGCTACTGCCTACAACCCCCAACGGATGCTGACTTGACTTATGGGCCTAGGAGCCCCATTATTCCTGTTCTCTGTAGCCATTTTCTGAAAGCCCTTGCAAGAAGAGCTGATAGAAAAGCCAGGAGAGCTGGAAGCTCCTGTCCTTTTCATTTCTGTATTTCTGGCCACAGCACCCAGTGCCCAGAGAGGTGGCAGGGCTCCCTGCCTGCTGGCCCAGCCCAGCCCAGCCCAGCAAGCAACACTGCTGTGCCCCTCCCATGCCAGGCCCATCCTGTCCACTTCTGAGGATCAGTTTCCTCATCCCACGGCTGGAAGAGACTATCTGGTTATTCAGAGACTCCTGGGAAACTCCCAGGAGCTGTTCCCAGGGGAATATTAAATGTCTTATTAAGTACAGTCCTGTAGGCATCTGGCCAACAGCTCACCTGGGGCCTCCCTCGCTCCCTCCCCTGGAAGGTGGCAAACCCCTTCAGGATGGGACCCTCCTCCCCATAGCCTGAGGGGAGGGGTTAGAAACATAGAAACTCAGAAAAGCTCTTACTTTTCTGCTGCCTTACACCATAGAACCCCATGTGCAACTCTGCCCTTTTACCTGCCCTTAGCCTGGGGACACCACCCCCACCTCCTAAGTGTGGGCCTTCCTGCCGGGATCCAGCCAAGTGACCCTGTGGCCCTGCTAACGTTCCGAGGTCCCATCTGTGGCCAACCCTACTCTCCATGGCTCCTCCCTCCCCTCAGTCCTACTCAGGAGTGCTCCCACTCCCAACCCTGTGCAGCCTATCCTGGCCAAAGGAAGCTGAAAGGGACAGAGCCAGGGTTTCAAGGAGGACTTGATGATGGATAGAGTCTGCACAGCACAGTGAGGCCATTTCCTGCCCTGACAGGCACACCTGTCATACCACCTGATTTCTTGCTGATGGCACCCACATTTCCTGGCCTGGGGTGCTGACCCTGGATGCTCAGTGTCCGGGTTTGCATGTATCATCTCAGCGAGTCCAGTCTGGGGGACTCCAACATCATACCCATCTGAGTGTCAGGCATTCATTAAACTCCTACAGCACTGAGCCACACTCAGGTTTGCCTAAGACACCATGGCCACCCCAGGCAAGCCTGATGTAGAATGGAGAGAGGTGACACAGCCATGCCCCAGAGTGGCCTGTTCCTCCCTTTGCTGGAGGCTTCTTTAGAGGGGATCAGGCAAGAGAGAAGACTTAGGAAACAGGATGACTGGGGAGAACATGAGGATGGCTAAAAGAAAAAATTTTTATGTGAAAATTTACTACTCCCAAGAGAGGCATGTGGATGTTAAAACAAACAAACAAACAAACAAACAAACAAAAAACCCAGCCAGTGGCTGGTCCTGTATTTCCCATGCTTTGGGCCACACCCAGCAGAAATTGAGAGCTTGCTACTGAAATTTAAAAAAGAAATTCTTTTCTTAGCACCTTTGACATTTCCTTGTTTGCACACAGAGAACTCTAATTGGGGTACAAAGAGAGAGGCACAGAGACTCATGGATTGTATACTTTTCTGTCCTTTTGGTAACTTGTTGGAATGGTACTTTTCTTCCTCAAAATATTATAGCCAATCATAATCAAATGTCTGATTATGACGATAATGCCCCAAAAGTGGGGCACTTGTCTAAGGGAGAGAGTCACCCACTTTGATTTATAATAGCCCAGAGCAATTTCTGACCTCTCAGAGA